AGATTAATCGATTACGCTGAGGGGAATCGCATCCGCTGCACCCATGGTTACATGTCGGCGCCAAGGACGGCTCAGCGAACGGCCACATGAGCGGGGTATGGAAACTGAACAAGCCATCGACTTGCATTACCAGCTACAACACCTGGAATTGGCCCCGACGACCTCTTCGGACAGTTTGCCGTTCCAACAGTCCGCTATAGCTCTCCCCAAAAAACGGAGTCTCACTTTTCGTGAGAGCTTTGGAGGTTGCATTCAACTGCCTACAGATTTGGCAATAACGTCCACGGGCAAAAAACCGTCTACCTCCCGGATCGAGTTCCACATTCCTCGCGAGGTGCACCCCACGGCTTCGGCGCACAGCAGTTGCGTGTCAATGGGTGTTTCTTACGCATCATCTGATGACGAGAGTGAGCGGTTGGTGGTCACTGATTACTCGTCTGGACAACAGTCCTCTTCCAGTGGACCTTTGCTTCGCGCTACCTCCAGCAGTACGAAGTTGGTTGCCACCGACTATTCTTCGGAGGAACTTTCCATAGCACGGACGAGTCCAACGCAAGTGCAAAGTGATGACGCGATTCCAATTGAGAAGCAGCCTGGTTCGGAAGCATCTGGCAGAGGTGATGCAGAGAGAAGGGCGGTACTGCAGATTTTGCCCGCACCTCTGCGAGGTGAAAGACGAAGGTATATCATGGCTAATAGGAACGCTAGGAAGAAAGAACAGTACAAAAGAGCGAGAAACATGCTGTCCGAAAAAAGACTGCTCATGGTGCGTGGCATGGCATGTTGCAAGGCTCGATATTGTTACGATGTGTCCCCAGAGGAAATGCAAAAGGTTAGACAGGGACTGTACAGTAAGAGTCCGGGCGAGCGAGCTGAGTGGTGGATGAAAAGTATTAAGGATTTCACAGTAAATGAGGGTGGACAGAAACGTGTCCGCCCTGTGGAGTTGGAACGTTCGATGTGCGTCAGGGCGTACTGCAATGTACTCGGTGTCTCGCGTAATACATTTTACAGCTACAAAAAGCGTTTTGACAATGGCTACGTGCGTTCCGAGCATGGCCTGACGGGAAGATATCGGTCAACCGATAAAACGGTCTCCATGCTTGCCAGCTGTGTGTCCAATGAACGGAGAAGGGGCGAAATTCAACGCCGTTGAACCTGTTCAACGGGCCTGGGATCCCCGTTAAATCGTGTTTAACATGAAAACAGGGGTGTTCCGTTGAATTGTCAAAAACGGAACCGGCGCGTTGGGCCTCGGACACGTGGCCCTACGCGCCCAAACACTAAAAACAAGAAAAAAAAAAAAAAAATTGACCCCTACTAACAGGGTGGGGTGGCCAAACATGCCCCTCCCTCCCGAAATTCAAAAAGAAAGAGGGAAAAAAAGTAAGCCCAAACACTAAAAACAAGGAAAAGGAAAAAAAAATTTGACCCTTGCTAACAGGGTGGGGTGGCCAAACATGCCCCTCCCTCCCGAAATTCAAACAGCAGGAGGGAAAAAAAGTAATTGCCACCCCATACCCCAAGACTGTGAGCACATGTGTTTGCACGTGGGTGCATTTCCTTCTTTTTTTTTTGTTTTTTTTTTACAAATGTTGCAATGTAGTCGTCCAGTCCCATTTCCGAAGGGTCCCAACGGATTAGCAAGGACCCTTCATGGAGCAACGACTTAGAGATTGTCTCTGTGGCCGGAGAATATATAGTCTGGATTCGAATTCAGGTCTGTGCAGATTAGTTATGGGTCACAAATTCTCTGTTTTCTCGTTTTTTTTTTTTTTCTCTTCTTTCTTTTGTTTTTCCGTTTTTTTTTTTGTTTTCCCGTTTTTTTTTTGTTTTCTCATTTTTCTTCTGTTTTTTCTCGTTTTTCTTTTTTTAGGAATACGTGCAGTGGCCCTAAGGGCTTATACTCACCACATGCACAAAAGACAATCTTATGGTGGTGTATTATTCCACGTTCTAGCAGAAGATCCATTCTTTGTTTTTTGTTTTTTTTTTGAAAGCCCAAGGTGTTCTAGAGGCCAAGGACCAGACTCGTGGTGATTGCTGGTAGCAACAGGGATAGGCCACCTACCCTACCCATCCCCACGTTAATACTCCCAGCACACCCCCTGTCCCTACTATCCTACCTCACTGTGACCAGCACTCAGGACCATCACCCTACCAGTATTTAGGGCAATTTCGACCAGACAGCAGTGACAAGCACCAGGGGCATGGTCCCACTAGCAACCGGATAGGATCAGGGTGGGGGTTGGGGAAAGGAAAGGTAAGCACGCCTGCTCAGGTGTCT